CAGACGACTCTTGTCCGGCTGATGCACCTAACACACACTTCAGATTAAGCAACTGTTTGACACACTGAGTAAGTTTGTTCAAATAGGTTGTTGTAGTGATGACATATTTTTGTAGGCCAGCCTGGATGTTAGCATTGCCCTGATTCCCATGCTGATGGGATTTTTTCATAGGCTTTTACATTATTACAGAAAAAAAGCTATTTGACAAACAAGGGTTGGTAACACATTTTATTCAGCAAGATAATTTTGGCAAGTGAACACCAATTTTATGATTTTTGAAGCCCAAATACAATCACTAGTAAGTAAAAAGCTATTGTTAGGCTATCAGCAAGCCTGGACCACAGTCCTGTGACTTCACTGTCACCACCACAGCTTCCAACTTGTAATTTGATTTAGCAAGCTTACCTCTTCTACAAAATCCTTTCCTTTTAGTTTGAATAAATCATCCTACTGTAAATATAAGCCACTGGCAACAGCTGCTCTATCATTAGCTATATTGATAATGTAAAATGTGTGATAGCAGAAAAAGATTTAAGAGTCTGTGCTACACACACAGCTGGCTACTCTGCTGAGTAACAGCCCGTTACACCTCCTGCTCTCTGTGGTCCCCTCTCTTTTAAATTATCGCAGTTATGGTTACACATCTTTCTATTTTTGTTGACTGGATGTATATGAAATAGTGATTTAATCAAATGTTAGCTAGCATTCATTCCAAACCTGCCATGATAAAAGCCTATTAAGAGGGAATCGTGATGACATTTGTGCTAAGATGACTTGCTTTTTTATTTACTGAGGTTGTTTTTAAATCGTAAATGAATTTGTGTAATTCATGCCATTATTTCAACATTTAAGAAACAATATTAATAAATAAAGAACAGGAAAGCTACATTGCACTGCCATCTATCATTTGAAAATTTCACACCGCCGCCTAAGCTGGTCCCGCCCCAAACAATATCTTTTACATACATCACTTACCCACCCAAAGTAAAAATTTGTGTTAGGCTTTTGCGTTTAGATCAGTGTCATATTCAGTATCTTGAGCATCTTCTCCAGAACCTAGCATGAATTATTTTCCATTTTTTTCCATTGAAGCATGTCTCTGCAACCGAACGTTGCTCAGCTGAAAGCCTGATCCTGCTGTTTCCATCATTTGTTCAACCTCAAGCCAGAATCAGTGGTTCCATTATCAGGCAAGCTTATTGATCAGACAGTGTTTGCACCATGATAAATTGATCTTAAAGTGGGTTAAGAGAGAGAGGAAGGGATTTAGGGAGGGAGGGAGGAAAGAAGGAAGGAATGAGAGGGAGGAAAGGATAGCGGGAGATGAAAAATTAAAAGGTTAGAAATTAGCACGAAGTGATGAATGAAGGGGGTGAGGAAGATAGGGAGGGCAAAAGGATAAGGATAATCACCTTTATTTGGCCAAGTATGTTACACACACAAGGAATTTGTTTCCGGTACACAACCAAGGCAGCCATCTGCGGCGCCAACTCACACCAATGGCTCTAACCATCGGGGGCAACTTGGGGGTTCAGTGTCTTGCCCAGGACACTTGGGAGGAAAGGAGGGCCAAAAAGAGTGACAGAGTTGTGGGTAGGAAACTCAAACTAATTAGCAAATACACTTTATGCTGATGGTGCACTAAGACTGCACCTGGACATGAGAAGCATTATTTCTAAAATTCCCCAGTGCCTGACATTTTCAGTATTCTGGCAGTTCATTACAGACATGTTGCCATTTTCTCTGCTCCATTCTCACCTTTCTCTTCCACCCATCCCTCCATTTCTTTCTTTTGTTGTTAGTGGATCGCTGCAGAGAGAGTAGCTTGTTTCCATGGAAACAGACTGAGCCAGATGCGCAGCGGCTTGCACTGCAGCGTCTGTCCTGACTCAGTGTGCATGTTTATCCTTAATTGATCTTGGCACCAAAGAGAAGGAAGGATGATGATTTATGAGGGTCTAATTCACTGGGCAGAAACATGGATGAACAGATGATAATGTATGTAGTTATTAGCAGTGCAGTCCAGCTTAGGTGGTATATATACATATATATATCGCCCCCCACTTTGGGGTGGTCTTGTATGCCTTCCTTCAAGCTAGGGTCCTCTACCACAGGCCTGGGAGCTTGAGGGACCTGCGCAGTATCTTAGCTGTTCCTAGCACTGCACTCTTCTGGACAGAGATCTCAGATGTTGTTCCTGGGATCTGTTGGAGCCACTCTCCCAGTTTGGGGGTCACAGCCCCCAATGTCCCTATTACCACAGGGAGCACTTGTGCCTTCACCTTCCACATCTTTTCTAGCTCTTCTTTCAGCCCTTAGTATTTCTCGAGCTTCTCGTGTTCCTTTTTCCTGACGTTGCTTGGGATTGTTACATCTATCACTACGGCCTTCTTCTTCTGTTTGTCCACCACTACTATGTCCGGTTGGTTGGCCATTACCAGTTTGTCCCACAGGATCTTACCTTGGTCATTCTCAGCCACCTTTGGAGGTGTATCCCATTTTGACTTTGGGACTTCTAGCCTGTACTCAGCACAGATGTTTCTGTACACTATGCCA